CTTTACACCCGTAAGTCCCTCATATCTCGCCTCGTTGCACCCCTCCCCCTTTCCTCCTTCCGACCAATCTCAACCATCGACTTTTGCCGAAAGTCGAGCAACACCTCTTGCTCTCTCTCTCTCTCTCTCTCTCTCGATTCAAAAAAAAGCACAAACTTATTTTCACCCGCGAGAAATCGTGAGGACAGATAGGGTTTGGCCACACGGCTCTCGGGCCGAGCGCGCGCACCCCACTGAACTATGTAGTACGTGGAAAGCCACGACGCGGGCAGGGCCGTATTTTTGGAGGATGAGAGGGGCGCCCCGTGTGATATTAATAGAACGAAGTGGACGACGAATTCGAGACTCGGTCCAAGAAAGATATTCTCCTTTCGTTCCCTTGCAAGGGGAAAGTGTTAAAATATCGTTTAATTTGATGGAATCGTAGAATTTGTTTTTTCTTTTTTTTTTGTTCGTTTTCTCGTATCGTTACATTTAAAGCTTTAAACGTTAGACTTTATTGCATTAACATATTTTTACTTATTTTCGTTACAGGTTGACTCGTTAGAAAATTTTCGACGCGGATTTAATTTCGATACGTCGCATTGTTGATGTTCCAAGTACGCCACTGCGGCGTACTCATGGTGTCTCGTCGCGTCGTTCTCACCCACGCCTGCGTTTTCTCCGTTTCTCGAGTGCCTCTCATTTATCGAAGCGACATCGATCATCAGTGACGTCCTCCCGAATTTGAAGCGATCGCGATAATAATTTCGATCCCGAAAATTCGAGGTTGCTGTCGCGCGGTAACCACACGAGGTCGCTAGTCGATAATCACGAGGTTTAGTTATTGATCGTTCGGGGTGTTTCGCACGCGCCTGCGCTTCAATAAGACCTGCGCTCGATAAGTATAATAAAACGCATCTGTGCGTTTGTTTCGTTTCTTTTTTCTTTCGAGGAAATGCATCGTTTTCTGATCAGAACGAGAGTCGACGAGGATATCGAACATTCTTGACGAGATTAACGATAATAATCGTGTATATTTTCCCAGCTTACGTTGTTGACGAATAAAAACAGAAATTTAACCGAAGCAGCCTAACGTCGATGTTTGATTACATTGGGGGCCAACATGTGGGCACAGTCTTTTGAAGAGATACAAAGACTATTTCTATCGGTTATAGATATACTTGTATACGATCGTTCAAATTTGTAATATATACATTACTATATGTTTCAAGCAAAATTTTAAGCACGTAGACTTATATCCTCTCTCGCAATTGTAACTCATTCCAACTACGTTCGATGCGATACGTTTGACGCATGATCTTATTGACTATTTGATAACGGATTCGACGGATTGTTTTACTTTGCGATAAGGACAAAGAGGTTTATCTGTACGCGAATTGTAATATCACACATGTTTATTTGAATCTTTCCCTTTTTTATCTTCCGTTATCGAGAAGTTCAATTAATCAATTATTCCTTCACTACTATATATCGCTTTCCTCCTTTAAAATATTTTCAATGATAAATTTCTACATCGCACAGATTTCTTTCGAGTTAAACAGTCTCCATTGCAAATTGTGTTTAACCGGCCACGCGAACAATTTTCAGTTGAGCGCGTATAAATATAGGCATCGGGGGGTACGCAGGCAGGCGGTTTGAAAACGTTTCGCAGAAGTTCGTCGCGTGCCTTATCTTCGCCGCTCTAATGTCAACGCGACAGGACTTTGCGCGTGCTATCTATACGATTCCCGCGAATCTGCTTCTTCGTACAACGATTCTCCCCTTTCCTACCTTCGTGGAAATTCGCAACAAGAATATTTAATTTTCCATTGTAAAAATCACATAGCGGTTAATTTATACAAAAAAGAAGATAACGCTTAATTTATTACCTGATACTATTATCAACGAGCCTTTCTGTCATTTCTGTCACCTACGCAATGATAACGATTTCAATATATTTTGAAAGTCGTATCTGTAATTTTTCAATTACAGATTAACACGCTAAAGGAAGCATCGAAATCTTTGAGTTGATTCAGAAAAAGCCAAATCAATTTGACCACATTTTACCGCGTGAACCTTGACGCTCGATCGATTTTACGACTTAAGCCACGTACTTTAATTACACCGATCATTAGCACGATCGTGATCGATCTCGGCTCAACGTAACCGTAAAATGAATCAATTTTCATCGTCACGTTCCATGTCGTTAACCATTAATTCACGCTTCATTTAACTCCCGTGCATCCCGTCGTATTATACACCCTGAAAACTGTTAACTCGATTTCAATGTAGCTCGTCGTCGATAAACGTTCGGTTTGGGATAAATGCAGGATATTATCGATGGTTGACAACGTCTGGTCGGGAAGGGTTCGAAAGGGATTACGAAACGGTGTACAAGTGTCGTGAAACGTTTATAGTTTCCTCCATTGTGCTGCCTTTCCGTTATGGGATTCTCCCTGCCGGCCGAGGGAGGGCGACGTCACTTTGAAGGCGAAGATCGAGGAAAACCGGTTCGAGACCTGCCGCCTTTATTGTGTTCCCTCGAACAGGCTAATTCATAAGTTACAACGCCAGAATTCCAGGCTGGGATACTTGGATGGAAAAGTCCTTGGAAGGTCTTTTCGGGGTTTCTTGAACCCTTGTTTATTTTAAGTGGATCGACCCACTTTGCTCTACATTTCAGAAGCTTGGAACAATAGTTTATTTTAAACGTGTGTATTACACGTGCAATAATTGTATTACACAGCTTCAATTTTTCAGGGTAAATTAAAAGAGAAAAGTCGTTTTTGAAGGCTTGTTGTTGAGAAGAAAAAGAGGGAACGAAAGGACTAATTGGTGGCGCGCTTCATCGAGCGGAGTGGTCAGTTCGCGGTTAGTTGACGTGCACTCGAGTTACCTTCTGTTTCCCTCCGGTGACGGTGGCGTCACGATGAAAGATGGCTCCTTCTGAATAATTACTTCCGGCTGCAGGTGGATCGTGTGTCGCTTCTGATGGAGTTCCTTACAAGAGGCTGAGGAGGATATGCCGTTTCTCTTTCGACGACGGCCACTGGCGCTTAGATTTTGCAACGTGCCCATAGATGGAAACCGGAAGCTCCATGCTATACCTGAACAACATCCACATTATTCCTTCCTAATTGTTTTCCCGTCCAATTTCTAAAAATTTTAACTATTCTTCTAATGGAAATCTGTGTTGAAATCACATCTAATTCTATGCCTATCTACTAATTGCCTAATGTCGGCCACTGTTTCGCCCAGATTTTAATCAAACACGGTAGACCGTGATTTCTAAATTGAACCTTTATCAATTTTTGTCCGAAAATTCATTATCGAGTCAATTTTAACTGTTCTTCTCTATAGTTCTTCCGAATGAAAGAATCTAATCTGTTAAACAATTCTCTCTATTTAACTCTCTATTTAAGGGAATAACGAAAGGAAACTCATGATTCTCCACTTCTACCTCGTAATAATTATCACAAATATACATGCATTTCGTTTCAAATTTCAAAAACGAACAAAACCACCCCACATACTCACGCATGCCGGTGCTTTTCTGCGGCCGTTCCTTGTCGCTCACGACCATCGCAATCCGTGCCACTGGCTCGCGATCGAAATTTTCTCCGATCTCCTCGCTATTTTCGCTATTTTATCTCGCTCGTTTAATTTAACCCGATATCCGATATTATTCGACGCGATGAATTCTCGGCGAATCGTTTCGCCCGAATGGAAACGTTTAGAATTACTCGATCCGCTATCGCGAGCAGGGATACCAACGCCCCTCCATCGCGCTCGCTAAACGGTTTTATCGCGTGCCTTCGTGCACACGAGCGAACGATCGGTGCAGTTAACGCTTCTTATCTGTCCTTCTCCTCCGTCAATTGGAGAGGTTTCAGTTGCGTTACGCCGCTTGTCGCTTTAATTTCATCGATTCGTTTTTTAAGAGATCGAAATACATCTTTTTCTCGTATTTTGTATTCTATTTAGCAGTAGTTTCTTGCACCTGTGCTCGCAATGACGCGCGTGCATCCTACGTTTATCCTCGTCGAAGCTTATGTTTTCTCTTTCTCTCAGCAGATATTCTTCGTGCACGAATTTTCGTAATTTTCGAAATTTTGCTTTCTTCGTTAGTTACATCGAAGTATTATACGATCTTTTTTATTTTCTTTTTTTAAAAAAAGTTTAAAAAGAATTGGAATATAGTTTGCATCACGCATTAGCTATTTTTAATTTTTACTTTCATTCCACAGCTCATTTTTCCCCCACTTTTTTCAAAGTTTTTTTCCTCGGGCAAATTCCGATCTCCTTTGCGTATGACCTTTCCACAACACCGTTCCTTCCCTTCCCCACTCCAAAACCAATCCGCCCATTCACCCAAAAATTTCACGCCCGTTAATCGACTCGCCTTGTCTTTCCAACACAATACTCTTCCCCAAAATTTTTCAATCACACAAGTTTCACTTTCGTTGCCTCGAATCTCCGTCCTCTCCCCGAATCCTGACCGGGATCACTGCGTCTCTTCACGGCGATACGAGTGCGATCGCAACCAAGGAACGCTTCGTTATCGACCTCTTGCAATCTTTCCTTCGGTCGTTCATTCTCGATCCTGAATGGTTCTTCATTCAGAAATCCTTACCTCGAGTAACGGAAGAATTTCTCCCTTTTCGTTTTTTTTTTTTTTCTATTCGACCGTACGCGTATCACGCGAGCGGATCAACCGCGGATCTCTCGAACAGTTGGCCAGAAAGAAACTAAAGTGCTCGGCTCACTTTCGCTTCGATTCGTTTATCTTCGCTCGCCTTCACACGCGCGGATATAAACCTGTTCCTCGGGCCTTTCCAGTCGCGGCTACGAGACCGTGTTCCACCTTGCGATTTTTAGATACCTTTGGTCGGTTTAACTTGATTTTCTATAATTTTTGTTTGTTTTTTTTTTTTTGAATTCGTTTCATGATTCGTCGAAAAAGATTTAATAGAGATTTTTGATTCTTTAATTTTTTTCTTTTTTTTTTTTTTCTCTTTGTAGATTTATTATGTAGATTTACATAGATTACATAAGTATTTATTTTGACGGTTGTTTGCATATGGACATTTTTACGATATAATATTTTTTAGGTGATAATGCGAAGATAATGCGGAATGGAATAGATAAAAGGTTGAAGAAGGAAAGATATATTTTTGCCAAGTTGTGCGTGACTTTGCGTATATTCCTCATCAAGAAAGCGTATACCTGTTCCAGAGTATTTCTAAACACCGTTCCGCTCTATTTTCAGGACTAAGGTTCGAATATTAGCAGCTGCAACGTAACACGGTTTCCTTTATTCGTAGAACGAGACCAGTAGGAGGATATTTATGGTAAGTTTTTTATTTTTGTTATATTTTATATATGTTTTGGTTTTTTAACGTGATTATTCATCGTATTCTCAATCCTTATATTATATTTATTTAAATAAAATAAGAGCATTGTGCCATTCGAGTTATATTGTTATTAGAATTTATTTAGACATTTAAAAATTACGAAATAAATTGTTTAAGATATTTCATATAAATTTTTTCTGTGTCGTACATATATTTTGTTCACATTTTTATATCGTATAAATGTATATTTCATATATTTTGCATGCATTATATATATTTACAATATGTTATAATATATTAAATATAGAAATATATTTTGTTTCAGGAAATAACACACTTTAGGAAGGTAAGTATGGAAAAGGTAAGTATAGGACTGTTCTCAGTCCATTAGTATATAAGTAAAATGGCCAAAAAGGCAAAAAATTTAAAAAATATATCAACTGGAAGAGGTAAGTATTAAAAAGGTAAGTATAAGGTAAGTATAAGGTAAGTATATCAAATTTCAGAAAAATACACGTAATAGCTCTTCTAGAATTATATTCTCCTAATACAAAATCAAAGAAGTAGATAAAATTTTCTCCATTAGAATTCCTGGTAAAATTCTACGTGCCACCTCCTATAGAATTATATTCTCCTATTACAAAGACGAAAATTTCGACAAAGATTCTCACAGCTTGAATTTTCGACTTTTTATTAGGAGAATATGATACGTGAAGAGGTGGCACTCGAAATTTTTCTCGAAATTTAAAGTCCAACAATTTCTGCCCAAATTTTTGACTTTTTATTAGGAGAATATGATACGTGAAGAGGTGGCACGAGAAATTTTTCTCGAAATTCAAAGTCCAACTATATCTGCCCAAATTTTCGACTTTTTATTAGGAGAATATGATACGTGAAGAGGTGGCACGCGAAATTTTCCTCGAATTTAGATTGCTAATAATTCTGTCTAAAAATTTCGACTTTTCATTAGGAGAATATGATACGTGAAGAGGTGGCACTCGAAATTTGTCTCGATCTTAAATTGCTAAAGATTCTGACTAAAAATTTCGACTTTTCATTAGGAGAATATGATACGTGAAGAGGTGGCACTCGAAATTTTTCGTAGAATTAAAATTCTCAAAGACCCTGACTAAAAATTTCGACTTTTGATTAGGAGAATATGATACGTGAAGAGGTGGCACGCGAAATTTTTCTCGATTTCAAATTCTCAAAGATTCTGGCTAAAATTTTCGACTTTTGATTAGGAGAATATAATTTAAAGGATTCATTTACTTAACTTAAATACTTACCTATACTTACCTTTTATACTTACCTTAAATACTTACCTTTTGCAGCTTCTCTTTATGATATGAACTTTTTTTTTTTTTTACAGTTTCCTTAATTCTAGAGATACTTACCTTTTATACTTACCTTTTTCTCTTCTAAAGATTTAGAGATATACAGGATGGACTTTTAACTTTATCAACTGCAACATTTCACTTGGTTTTGAGAATAGAAAAGAATGGTTTAGATAGAAATTAAATAGTTTATTAGGTCTATATTCTGGTATCACGAATTTTTTTTTATAAAGGAATGCCTAAAGAATATACAAAAGTCAACGTTGTTTTTTTAAATGGAATCATATATTTGTTAATGCATTTTTCGATGCAATTCAATATTCTCTATACTAAACTATTAGACCACTTATAGCAAAAACTTATTAGTTTAAAAGATATTTGATTACTTTGATTATTGAATAAACTAGAGATTTTTTCCTATAAGTGATCTAATAGTTTTAATAGTATAGAAATACACTGCATCTATCAATGTACCAAAAAATATATAATCCTATTTAAAAAGACAAAGTTGATTTTTATATTATCTTTATGCATTCATTTATGGAAAAATTAATAAGACTGGAATATAGCCTTCTCAAAATTATTCAACTTTTATCTAAAACATTTTTTAATATTATCAAAACCAAACGAAATATTCCACGTGTTAAAGTTAGGTGGCCACTCTGAAAAAATATAAAATATATATGCGATATAAAAATATAGAAATGTAAAATTATAATAAAATATACGTACGACACAACAATATCTGCTGCTGATGATTAACGTCTTAATTTTTCTTAGTCATGGTTTCCCATATAAACATAATTATTCCATTTCATAAATCAACGACGATTAGAATTAAATTATCGAGAAAATCGATTTAAGTTAATCGTGATTATATTTGCCCCGAGTAGCGCTGCTGCCTCATTTCATTCTGAATCGATAATGTCGCATGTGACACAAGAATGATAATTATTGCGACACAAATGCATCGGACGTCCCCCATATTTAATCTTTGCTATACCGATCCTTTGGTTACACATCGAAATTTCAAATTTCGCATACGAAACAGTGGATATGTCGAAATAAATTCACAGATTAAATTTCATATCGTGAATCTGCCATAATTTAATCGTGATTACGTGAACACAGTTTAAAAATTCTTCAAGCTCGAAATGTCAGCAATAGATCAATGGTGACGGGGACAATGAACCATTCATTCCAACAATATGCACGTTTATCGTTTCCTTTCGATCGTTAAATCGCATAATCGAGCTTGGCACGTACACGTCCATATTTCATCGAAAAAGCAGGGATAAAATGAAAATTTGTACGATAAAAATTACCGATACATACAATATGTCACAATATAAACCAGTAAAACTTGATTTTATCAAACGCTGTACCTATCTCTGTACGTATCGTATAAAATTAAAAATAAAACGAAATTTTATTAATAATAATTATTTTATTTGTTATAATTTCCCATTATAATCGACTTTTCATTTTCATTCTTCTCTCTCCCTCTCTCTTTCTCTTATTACGATTCTCGATCCTTTTCTCTAAACATTTTCCATCCAAAAATTATCTCAAACATCCTATTTACTACCTCTTCGCTATCTCCTTCTCGACAGACAAATACTTTTCGCCAAGCCTATACACACTTTTCCAGGAAAACCTTCTTTCTCCCAACCAGCTAAATATTTAGGCTTTCTAAAAATTTCACGGTGCGTCCAAAGAAGAAGAAGAAAAGGAGAAAAGGACACCCGTGCTCGGTTCTCAGTCCGAAATAAGAACACTGGACGGGGAGTGGAGGGAAAAAGGAGAAGAGCGAGGTTGGTCGCGGTTGAAAAACAGAACTGGTGGAGGAATGCAGGTGTGTTTTGCGCCGCTTACTCGCCGACATAATACCTGGCGACACTGATAAGCCTAACGTTTGTTCAGATAACTATGCAATGCTTGGGGAACCGCTATCGACCGAAAAAGTCGCCGTTCTATATCACGAAACAAACGGTGTAACAAACTCTCTGAATATTTTCGGCAATATTATTACTCGTTATTCGAGTATATATGCAAATTTTTTTTCTTAATTTTCTCTTTAAATAATTTCGTAATTCGATTAAAATTTCGTGGCAAAAGTGCAATGATAATTTGAACGATTTTGTCTTATCTTTGAATTTGTCTTTTTTGAAATATCTTCTGATTATTTGCACGAAAATTTACGTAAATGAATATATACAAAATATCATATAAACGAACATGAATATTTAAAGATTTCGTTAAATATAAATATACAAAGTTTTAAAAATTCTTCGCTTCAAATGTATATAATATTTATAATTGGATCTGCAAATTTATTCGAATCGCGCCTATATATATATATATATAAACCGACTACAATCACCTGTTGCTACAGCCTCGTAAATGTTTCATCATCATCATCCAATGATCAGAATCGAAAATTTCTGGAATCTGCATCTTCGCGAAAGAATATACAATAGCGAATCAGGCTACATCCATTTTACTTGAAAGAATTTTGTTTAATTTTCATGAATATTCCAATTCCCTTGCCTATGCATTTAAACGAAGCGGTTTAATTTTAAACGTGAACGAATATCTTCGAAAAAAAGAAAGAAAGAAAGAAAAAGAGTTGTAACAAGTTGGTCGAGGAAAATTGCGCTTTCGTTTATCATTGAGGAATAAAAAAAAAAAAAAAAAAAGAAAAAAACGAACACTGATCGATTCTTACCGCGTTCGGTCTAAAAAAGAAGTTTTTATTCACGTGCGTGAAACGTGCGTAGAGATTCTCCCGTTTCCTTCGTGGCAGCGTAATTATATGCGCGTTTACCATGCGGCAGGAATTTCAATCGGGCCCAGTTTTTACACAGCTGACAGGGAGGAATGAGACGACGTGAATTTCGATCGCGAGATTTCAACAGTGTATACTCCATTCAACTTTATAAGTTTTTGAATAAAGAGATAGAAATGTTACTTCAATATCTTTGAAAGCGTAGTTCAAAGTAAAGTTGAGCTGCCGTATCTATTAAAAGTAAAAGTATTTAGTAAGAAGTGGCTTTGAATCCTAATTTGGCAAATAAAATAGAAGAAATGAAGAAGAAGCTTTCGAATTTCTTTCGAACTTCTTTGGAAGTTTATTTTGGTGAAAAATAGAAGACTCGAATTTCTTCGATTCTTACTTTCAAGTTGAGCCAAATTCATTTAAATCTTCCTTAAAAAACTCAATCCCTTGTTGAAAATAAAATAAAAAAATTCTTGAATTATTTCTCTTATTCTCTTCGTAAAAGTAATCGAAAAAAAAAAAAGAGAAGAAAAACGAACAGTTTCACAATCATACGTCGCCACAGTAATAAGAAATCAAGAGAATGGCTGATTTCAAGCAAGATCAATAATTAATATTATATTGCCTTCGTGATACATCGTTTACTCGCACGTTTGACGCGCCTAAATTACTCTAAAAGACACGTGTTTATCTGAATGTTGGCCGGTGCAAGCGTTTATCAGGCGCAAGAAGGAACTACCGTGCGACCTACATCCCACGTTTAGCATACTTCGTACCAGTTTCGATTTTGAATAAAACTGCGACGTGATTCTCAACAGTATTACGTATACCGGGATCAAAACGATCAACGCGTGGGCGGAGTTCCACGATAAACGGCTGATACCGCCAGGTGACTTATCGTCGCGTCTCGTTTCGATTGTTTTTTTTTTTATTACTTTTCATTTGTTGCCTAATGAAATCGAAAACTATGTTTTGTGAGAAAGGTTATGTTTTATATCGAGAAGACCGAGACACGTTTTCGGGATCAATAATTTTTTATAATTCTTCGAATCTGTGTTTATAAATATTTTTCTGGAGTAATAATTTAATAACACGGTAAATAAATTATACACGTTCACGTGGTCGTTTTGCTTGACCACAAGATCTTTCACCGATATCAGGTCTCAAACGTCCATCATTGAGCACGTGCTCTTTGAATCACGGCTACTCATCACTATCCTTTCACCGATCGAACAAACCACTCCTCGATATTATAAAACTATCGCATTAAAAAAGAATTTTATATCGAACTTTCTTAAACCTCTTCAAACACAACGAATTAACTTCGTTTTAATCCTAAATAATAATAAAAATTTTTTACATTACGAAATCTTTACATATTTTTTTAAACAATCAATGTTCATGTGATTTCAAAAACTTCTCACATCAAAAACACCAAAAAAAAAAATCCAAGAATTAAGATTCCCTCACAAAATTAAATTAAACACAAAAATTCTAAATTACAATTAAACGCTTACATATGTCATTGCACGATCAACATCCACGTGTGTTCTAAAAACTTTCTATCGAAACATCAAAATCTCCACAAACACTTCAAAATAATCACACTTTTACTTATCCACGTGATTCCAACAACAACTTACAGTCAAAGCGCACAAAAAAAAAACACTGAAAAATCCCCTAAAAACAAGAAATCAAACGTAAAAAAGAAAAGAAAAAAGAAACGAGCAAGAAAAAATAGAAGTACGAGCAAAAGAAGAAGACTGAAATATACAAGTATACAACGTGACACTAACTTTGACTCCTGCGTGACTTCAGCTTGCTGGCGGTTTTCCCCATTTTCCTGATGGACGCATGGGTCTCACGTTTTGCCGATTCCAGGTATCGTCACGAACGAGCTTCGGCCAGTGTTGAGATGCAGCCACTGTTGCGACCGTGGCATAATGCGATACCGAGCTGACTGACCGGCCGTCTTTCGAAACGGGACGCGAAGGGACGAAAAACCTCGATAGACGGAAGGCGACGTTTGGCCACGATCACGTTGAGACACACACGCCGCGAACGAACGCCGCCAGGAGAATGTCGGATTTCATGTGGAGAGAGGGAGCGCAGGCCTGGCATGGAAGAGGATGGAGAGTGTTCCCTCGTCGTTTGAACGTACGTTTGACAAAACGAGACGGAGTGACGAGAATGGAGGGGGGCGAGGTTTTAATGAGATTGGATGAGCACGAGTCGGTTTGATACCGAGCGATTAATAAAAGTGTGGGGAGACAGTGATGGAGTGAGGAGAGATATTGGTTATTGAGTTGGGGGTGACTGTTTATCTTTTGAATAAGTATATTTTTTTGTTGTATAAGTTTTTTATATCGAAGCGATGCGAAGATTAGAGGTTAGGTTGGAGAAGTTTGGGAAGGAAGAGAAGAAAGTTTGAATGAGAAACGTTCGAAGGAATCTTCGTACGAGTAATGAATCGAATGATAATGTTTTGATTTATCGTATAGCATGTTTTGACTATACGATTTGAGTAAAATTCTTAGATAAAAGAGATAGAATTTTTATGAGACAAAGTTAATGGTTTGAATATTGGATTTCGATATTATGTGATTCATGTGTTGGAAATAAGGCAATTAGTTTAAGTGGTCAAGGAAATAGATTGGCAATTGTTAGATGATTAGCAAGGAAAATGTAAGGTTAAAGTCTCCTTTTCTATCGACCTATTTTTAGAACAATATGGCCTCTATAATTAGATCATACTTATAATAAGATATTTCAATATAGCTCCTTTAATAAATTTATAGAACAAAGGTTGTAGCTTTTAAGAACGTAAATGGAGACTAGTTCGAATCGCCTCGATACAAAATAATTAAAACAAAGAAGAGATAAACGAGATTGGATCAATCAAGATAGCCAGAAACTAGAACGATTATTTTTCCGATAGAGAAACTAAATCTTCTAATTAACAATTTCTAACTTCGTCTCATACATATAATTTTATTATTAAAGTTTTCAAAAAAGACACATTGCCTACTGTAATTAAATAAAATCACAAAAGAATCAAGCTCTCGACGAATCCCTAAAAAAAGATACGCCAGTTTAACACATTGAGGAAGAACGCTCCTCAGTGGGGACAACCGAGGGGAATGCAATGTTAGAAGAGAGAGAAGGGAAGGAGGAGGGGGAGGGGGGGGAGGGAAGCACAGGCCTGCGATTGTAATACACGTGGCACAGCAGCAGTTAGCGAGAGAGACAGATGCGAAATTGAAAAGGAACGGAACGAAGAGGTGCAGATTATGCAGCGAAACTTGTTTAATAAGCGATATCGATAAAACTGTAAACAGAGAAAGGAATTCGTTACCATCAGTGATATATTCGTGTGCACGTTGAACAGATATGAACCACAATGGAACTCGTTTCGGTATTTTATCGCGTGAAAAAAAATTCAATATCACCTCTGTTCGTGGTATGAGCAAACAATGATAAATTGGAATACGTAATTGAATTTGGAGGATGCAACTTTTCGTGTTTTTATATTTTCTATCGTTGCTGCACGCATTAAGTACAAATCTAATATTATCATGTATCTAATAAAAAGAAGCAATCAAATTTTAAAGCCAATCAGAAATATAAATAAATTAATTAAATCTACAGCGAATAAAACGAAATATTGTAATTTAAAAGATCGTAAAGATAATTGTTTTTCAAGAGAAATTAGGAATGGAGGAATATCGTTCGGAAAATTTGCCGAAAAATATTGGAGGAAAAACGCGTGGTGCGACAAGTGTTTCGTACACTTTGAAATAATCGTGTCGTCATCGAGAACCCGGACTCGTTCCAGCCGACAGACGTTACTTACGTTATTTACGATTCGGAAAAAACCGGAATGCATGGTGTTCAACGCGAGTTGCAGCAAGGACGCGCACAATCGCGAATTAGTCGCATGAAATTGCTGTGACTACCTGTTGGACTTTCGATTTCTTCTGGAACTTTGACTCCGTAATTGTCGTCATCGATATGACACATGTCTTTTTGTCTTGTTTGATTCATTAATAAACGTGACGTGATAAATCGATTTTTTTTTTTAATTTTCTTTGTTACACTGAAAATGTACAATTTTTTTGTTAAATAAATTCTATCCATATATATATATATAAATTGTATATACAAAAAAAATTACTAACAAAATTATATCGTGTTAAATAATAATAGTAATTTGCAAAAATAATTTTATATAATTATAGAATTGTAGATTATAAATTATTATAAAATTAATAATTTTAGAAAAATATTCTAAACGCGTAAGTTCGTATTTAAGTAAGAATCGTGTGCTAAAGAAATCGAATTCGTTTTCGTTGAAGAATCGATTCGAGAGCGTAGCATGCCGTACTCGTCAAGAATTATTGTTGCGAGCTTACGTCATAGACAACGGTACAAATTGTTGGAAAGGAGCAAGGTTGCGTCTATAATTGCACGATCATTCAGCGTTCACGCTGACCAAGCGCCTTCATGTTCGTGTCTTCGAATTAATAAAACAAGAAATGCAATATACTTTATTTAACAATCTTATTTTTAATCATTGGAAATTTGAAATCGATACGAGACCAATGAACCTTTCGAATTTAATTGCATTTTAATTGCAAGATTATCGTAATTAGCTTTGAAAATTAACGATTACCTTCTTTTGACAGGCGATAACTTTTCGACTAATTGCCAAATTATAATGATATACACTTTCTTAAATTATCAATTCTCAAAAATAGATGTTTATCACGTTTATGGAGAAATTTAGTTAAAAGGCCACGTAAAGATCAGAATCGTAATATTAAATTACTTACAATTTTCATTTATTAGTGTCTGCAATCTTTCAAAGATACTACTCATGGACTTGTGCTGCGGAAAATTATTTCCAGAACGCCTGATCTCAGGCAACCACGTTGTCCACCGCAATGGGTTGCATTCATACAGGCGCGAATAAAATATATATTCTTTTCAAGACTTTGTTACGTTTTAAACTTAAATTTTTCGTCCCACCTAATCAATGTTAGAAACGTGGAATATTTAAACACAAGCAAGAACAATAAAAAAAATAATAAATAGAAGAGAGATCGTATTCCTTTAGGCCACTTTTTATTGGTGCGAACATACCAGAATACATCGAGTTTTACAGTCAATATTCTCTATGGAACGATGCATCACCAGGCATAATCGTTCACTTTATATACTCTCTATACGATGTATACGCGGAATAGACGACATGTATATACGCGCGAGCACGACACAAATAGGGATTAGCGAGTGTGCTCTCGTTACAGCTACAAGATGTTGTATAGTTTTATGCTTCTTCTTTTCAATTCTCGCCATCCTCCAATAAATAAAACAAACATCTCCTCCTCTTTTATCCTCGCGTCGAAGCGAAATTCGACGCGATCTCAGATGTGTAAATATCTTGAAATATAAAAATTCCAAACACAGACGGACACGCGTCTGCCTTCGACGAAACTGCGACTTACACGCTAATTATAGAAGTATCTGGGTTACATAGTATATATCTTTCTGCGAGGGAATTGACGTTTTACAACAGCTTCTTGTTTTAAGGATATATTCTACTCCATTGTTTCCACCTTTTTTTTTTTTCTTCTTATTTTCTCCACGTGATACTATCTTATACGTTAAAACCTACTTGTTTCACAAGTCTGAAAATACGATATTTGGATTTTCCTTTTGCGACTTCATCTTCAGATCGGATCAACATCTTTTTCACTCTGCAATAATAACAATAATATCCTCTCTTTCGTCTTAAACATAATATCATGTTAATATCCAACTGTTTAGTAGTTGTGATACATAATCGTTATGCAATTATATTTTATAATGTTACATATATATATATATCTTGAATAAAGATTACAATATCAGTTATCATAATTTTTGTCATACAAGGGTCCGACGACATTAATGAAAAATTCGTGGCCCAGAAAAATACTATGCACACATATCTTACTCTTTTTCTTCTATTTTTTTGTTTTTTTTTTTTATTTTTTTTTCTTTCTTATATATATATATATATATTTTTTTTTTGTTATTTCTTCAATTTTCTTCGATTTCTACGATTCGCCCCTCTCCACGCACACACATATAATATAATATACGCAAGCTTGGACAAGGAATGGATTAATCGTAAATGAAAATCAGTGTGCAGCGTTGATCAGGTGTTGCTGAGTGGAAACGATCCAGTGTTGGTGTAGTGAAAATTATGTAATTCGCGTCGACAAGTTATTCGCGTCACCGTTCGCGAGAAATCGTGTTTCCATTTCGTGTTGCGCAACTTTGGTATTAAAAGTTTTAATATTATAGAACCGAGGGAAATTATAGATTCGAGAAATGATTAATTCAACATCCAGCCTATCATTTGAAAGCATTTCTCTTATTCCTTTAAATTGTTTCAAATCAACCGCAACAATTTCCATTATTATTTCTTTTCATTTAACTTCCCGAAATGAGTACGTAAGTACTGGTAAACAACTATAATCTGTACTTTTTATTCATACCTTTTATTTTTAAATTACCGCGTGATTACGTAAAATGCAGCATTTCTTCCACGTTTATAAAAAAAAAATAAAAAATAAAAAAGAAAATAGAAAAAGCATTTAATCATCTGTCTCGATATGGAATGTAGTTTTTTCGTTAGGCGAATAACACGTTTCCACGCGATCAGGTAAAAGGATTGTGTATCGCGATATTATTCGTAAGTGAACAAGTAGAAAAAGAGAGCGAACAGGAAAAAAGAGATTTGGCAATGGCGGGAGGGATCGATCTATCTTCAACGTGAAATATTATATTGTTTCGTGTTTCGTTTCGTTACGCGAGGTACAAAAGAACTCGTAGAATCTTGAACGACAGTATCTCTCAGAAAAGACAAGTGTATAGGCAGGTACTGTATTATGTTTCAGATTGACTCGATCAACATCGTGGACGATCGTGTCGTCGAGATTTTTACCTCGTTCATAATAATAGTACTTTCTCGCTGCTGAATCGCTCGACGAGTTCGCAACGAGCACAAGGTTACGGATAGAATCCTCGAAAAAACAATATAACGGCCGCGGCTGTTGCGAGATCATTTCGAAGGCTTGCCTTTAATGATCAATTCAAATTTTCGCAGCAAAGAATCGATGACGTTGAATCGCTAGATCGCTACGTTAATGGAACAAATTAAATTAATAAGTAGAGACAAAATTAAATTGATATAGGATGGACGATATACGAATGATCGATTTTGAATATCCCGCCATTTTAGTTGTCGTTAATTGTACAGTTTTATAAAAACGTTTTAAAGATAATATAATTGTATATCAATAATCGAAAGAATGTTTCTCGTATTATATTTGGTATGTGTATGCAATGTAAGGTAAAGTGGGATACATTTAAAATGGCGGCAAATTCAAATGAATACTTTATCTCCATCTCGGTGGAAAAGAAAAAAAAAAAAAAAAAAAAAAAGAAAAGGAAAATAAATGATAAGATAAAAACGACATTTCAAATCAACTACTTTTTGTTTATATGACAAAATCGTATATGATGTATTTTTCAACAAAACGAATTAATAATATCGAAAGAAATAAAATATGGTGGCAAAATAAAAGATATGCAAACGAGACACCATTGAATACACGTATTCGACGCTCGATCTATAATACTTTCATGTGTTTCGAGTTTCGATTTCCTCTGGAAATCCGTGTAAATTACAATCGATAATTACACATCTAGCTATCCGCGTTTCGAAAGAATCGAATCGTTCGATCGACGCAGCCTTCTCGAGGAATGAGACGTTTATTGACTATTCTGCATTTATATGACTCTTCTGCTTTCCAATTCTCTATAGTGGAACCCTAACCTATGATTTCTGATGCTCGGAACCGCGGAAAGAAAGCGGTACTGGAAATAACCACATTCGCTTATAACGTAAGTAAATGTTTCTCTGAAAAAAATGTGTGAATAGTCAATATTGATGTATAATAAACTTTCTTCGATTGTTTAGGGAATATTTAAAGTTACCGGTCGATAATAATTGTTGTATAGTAAGTAAATAATGAATATAACAAGAAATGATGTAACTCTATTCTATTTATACCACGAGTTGACTGTGATGTCCCCTTTTAGTTAGAATATCTTATCTAATGTATGGAAATATACACGTGAAAACAAGTTTTCGTAATTTATTTTTTGCGATATCCTCGTTAGGAAAACATAAACTAGACTATATAGATTATAAATCTTTCTAAATTTATTTAAAAGAGATGCGTGAGAAATGTTGAAAAATAAAAAGATAAAATATTTTAACTTTAAAAAAAGGAGACAATATAGATTTGTAGGAAAAAGTCGTGTGAATGGTTTTCCGTTTCAAAATAGTTCGATTGCAATTGATATGTAAGAAATGTTCAAACAATAGGCCTGTTGTATCGTTGTCCAAGGATGTAAATCGATAGTAAAAGTTAGTTAGTTAAAAATACGTGTGCGTTTAACCTTATGAAAGACCGAGAAACTTTCATTTCTTCTTTTTTTATCTTAAAGAAAAAATTCCACACGATTCCTTATGCAAATTATGCAATCTTCTTCATTCCTCGAGTTGAAGGTTAATTTGCGGCGAGTCGATTCAACGCTAAGCAAAAAGTGATCATTTACAATATTATTCGGACTTCGAGACAATATTTCGATTATTTTATACACTTTGTTTAGGTACAACGTGGCTAACATTTACGCTTACGTTTATCTTTCTCGTTTTTCTCGTCCCCAGACGCGAATGGAATCCATCCAAAGAAGGGAAAAGGATTTTTTCTTTTTAAACAAAGTTCGAGTATTCGAAACGAATTTCACTATTGAAAAATTGGTCCGGACAATCAATTAACATTAAGTTCGAGCTCCATCTGGGGTTTAGATTAAATATTACATATCATCTATGAGTGAAGCACAGACCTTTTTTCTAAACTTATTCCGAAGAATTCAATACCGCTTCGATCGGTCGTGGATAAATTTCGAACAATCTCAACAGCGAGCTCGCTTGTTAACATTAACGCTCTATTGTACAAATTGGTCGAACGTTTGCCAATCGTCTACCACCGAGTGAAAATGCAACGATTAAAATACAATTGACAAAGTTTTAACCTTTCCCTTATCTCCCACTTTGATATATTTTCTTTAATAACTTTCCTTCTTCAAAGCACACCTTTGCATTTCGCCTCACATTATCGAAAATATCTCTCGACGGTGATCCTCGTGAGGTTCGCCATCGTTTCAAAAAAAAAAAAATTACATCGACACGGTGTGTGATTATCTCGAAAGCGGAAAATTATTAATTTCCTTGTGGAATCAATTTCTTCGCGAATTACATTTGGAAGGCAAAAATTTTCGAAATTACTCGATTTCTGATAATATCGATCAATCTTGCAAGTGTGTCGATCGCATTTTAAAAATCATCATCCGATACAAAGATTAAACAAACGTTAAATTTTCAATTCCCACCAATCCCCTCAAAACCTTAAAAATTTCAGTATTGGATATCCAATCTATCATTAAAATAATATAATTTCCAAATGAAAATTCACGAAGATCCACCTACGATTACGAAAAAGTTTTAAAGATTTTCCCATGGCTGGCTGTTCGTTTCATCGCCAACAACGAGGTGCCCGCTGATTCATGGTTTGGTTCCGATCCATCAGTCAGCCTGGTTCTTTTGTGCGCAATCACGGAAGCACGGCAAAGGCCGTGTCGTCGCCGTGGAGGCCCGTTTCCGGTGTTTTAGAACAGCACGCAACCGGAACCGTGCATCACCTCGGAAATGAACATCGGCGTGCCGGCGCCGAGTCCGCCATCAGTCTTCTGATTCTCGTTCTTGTCGTATTCGCAGTCGAAATAACAGCTCTGTGAAATAAACACGTATTTTTTTTCATCGTCGTACAATTGATTGAAACAAATTTTTTATAATTAAACTTTGAAACATAATTGCAATGAAAGAAAATTTCTCTTTCAAATTATTCTACACACGAACGATTTTTGTATCGGAGACAAGATCGATTAAAATCTCTCGCTCCTCTAACTTTTCGAGAGAGGAGATTCAGATTTTGAATCGGAAGATATTTTTGAAAGGAAGGTGTGTTTGAAAGGACGAGAGAGGAATTCTGGAGTGCAATGCATTGAAAAAAGGCGGCAAAGTGTTCCGTTGAAAAGATGAAGTATTCAATATTGCAGCGGTGCAAGGGCACGCTTACCTGACAGTCCAAGCATCTGCAGTGGTCGCTCATCTTGCAAGTGATGCCCCACTGTTTCGCCACCGCTCTGTACAACTCTTTGCTCGACTTGTGAAGGATCTTGGGAGCTTTTGTTCTATTATCTTCCCCAGACGCGTCATTCCCGGGGTTGTTTCCGCTCTCGTACCTCTGCACCTCGGCTGCATGCTCCAACCGTGTCTAAAATTACATCAAAGTGTAAATGGAGAATTTCGACACATACCTCTCTCTCTCTATCGTTCTCTCAAGCTTAAGTAATCATGGACGAGCAATTTTACTTTCTCAAACTTATCAAAATCTTTTCAATCTACTTTCGTCTACTAATAGAAATTCTACTTCTATAAAGTGTTCAAGAATTTTCTCACATTTGATATTTTAACAATCTCAAACATGTCAAAAGTAACGAAAGTATATTTCCTAAGAATTTTACTTTCGCAAATACTATCCTCTCAAATATCTTTTACTCGTCAAAATTTCTTTATCGAAAACGTTCTATCAAACAACGTAACAAACTTTGTCCAACAATTGCATAAAAATTACAAGAGCGTTTTCTCTCTCTCTCTCTCCCCTAAGGGATTACGATCGAACAGAGTTGAACGTAGGCTCTGTAGTTTCATCATCCATATCTTCACCTGTTCGATAACGTGCTCGTAAGAAGGAGGAGGCGAGCTCGGTATCGTTTGTTCGTTCCTCACCATCACGCTGTTGGAAGCTAATATCGGTGAGTTTATATTGGATTGAGTTTCGCCGCTCAACTGCAGTTGACTCATTGGCAGTTGAACGCTTCGCCCCCTCGCGTTCTCCTCCCCGTCCTCCGGATTCTCCTCCTCCTCCTCCTCCGTCTCGCTCTCTCCTCCCCCTGCCTCCTTGCCGTGATGCTTCTCCCTCTCCATTTTACCCTCCAACTCTTTCTCCTTGTCCTTCTCCCGCTCCTCCTTGTCGCTGCTGCGCGACTTGGACATTTTTGAGAAGGGAAACTTGAACGGCGCCAGTTTGACTGCTTTGTCTACTCGTCTCTCTGAAACCGGGGAAGGATTGTTAGAGGATTGTTGCTCGTTATCGCTGCTAAACTCGAGCATCAATCGGTGCGTGTGTACATGTGTGTGTGTGTGTGCACGTAGAAAAATCGTGGACGAACTGGATCGTTGATCGTCCAAGCGAAATTTTCTTCTTTTTTATTATTCTAGATTTTTTGGCTCACTTTGGAAACTACTCTAGCACTTACTAGTTTAAATTCGTAATTTTGGTCTAAATTTAAATAATATCGAGCGAAACGAAATGAAAAATTGTTACTCGAAGAATAAAAAGTTCTTCCGACTGTATCGCGACGAAGGAACTCTACATTCCTGCACTCACCAATACCTAAACCGAACTTCCACTCTTCTCTCGACCATC